CCCCAAAACCCCAAAACCCCAAAACCCCTCAAGTACATAAAACATTAAAAATGGCAGTAACTTATAACTAAGATTAATAATATTAATAGTTAAATAAAGCAATTTAAATTTCAATGGAAGAGTCTTAACTTTTGACGGAATATGAACCTATCGATTTAGGCTAAATTAAGCCCAGCAAGATTACAACAGAGAAGGAGTTAGAGGCAGAAGCTGCCTAAATCTGTGAAATACTAAAAGACATAAGTATGTTGTCACTATTTGAAATAAATACTAACTTTTTTGTAGAAGGAGATTGGAATCAGAGATTGAAAGCTCTTCTGAGTATTTAGTCATTTTTAGTTTCTGACGATATAAGAGAATTCTCCAATTTCAGTAACTTTATGAGCAAACTCGTAGCACCCTTGACTTTTCAACTTCAGGATTTAAGATCTCAAATAACTAAAGAGGCATCAAAAGGCATTTCGCTGATGGCTTAGGTAATGCAGCAAAATTTTGAACCACTAGCTCATCGTTTCATATCAAAAGTTTCGTTATTCAAGTTACTTAACGCTGCAAAACATGTTCTTGCAGAACACTCACATATATGCATTATCGCCATTATCAACAACGTTATCTGTCCCAAGTAAGTTGAATTTATTCTTTTTACAATCGCTAATGACCCTATTTAGAATTATACCAAATATATATGAAGAAATTAAAAGCAAAAATCCCACAGTAAGAATTCATAGTGCAGAATACATCTATCTCATCCTAAATTAATTTCCAGAGGATTGCTACTTAAATCACATACCAATCATTGAGGATCTACTAATAAGTCTGATTCAAGATGCCAAGTCAGAGGCAAGATAAATAGCTAGAATGGCATATTTCAGATATAAAATGATCTTTCCAGATAGGTCTGATTTTATTTTCAATCATCTTGATTCATAGAACCAGAGAGCTATCCTTGATGAGGAGGATTCCTTTGTAGATCCAAATTTTATTGCATCTAAAGCTAGATATACTGAAAAGTTAGTCAATAAGAGCCCATCTAAGTTACCTGACAGTCTTGGAGGAACTGGTAGTGGTTTTCTTGGTATACCAGGAGCATCTGGAAAAGATCAACTTAAAATGACAAGAAGTGTGAGTAGAGGCAGACCAACAACGACATCTAATAACCTAACTTCTAAGGCTCAAAATGTAAGCCCTTCAGGAGGCCATAAAAAGTAAATGAAATCTCCTGATAATGATGAAACAGGAAGGGGTAGGATTTTGCTTGAAAGTTTGAAAATATCTAAATAGGAAAGCAATCCAGAACCTCAAAACTAAAGTTCTAATAATACAATAGATTAAATGTCATCCCCCAAATTAGATGTGAGTAAATTAAAACTATTAAAGAGTCCTAGGCTTGTTTCCTAGGGTAAGGAATTGAAAATTTAGACTCATTCCTAATAAAATTCCTAGCAAACTTCTTTTGTGAGTTCAAACGAGCAAAAGACTAATGAGACTTAAAGTTTAAATTTCTAAAGTAAGGCTATAGTTGAGGAAAGGAAACTTAATTAGCACTAAAAGCAATAAGATCATTAACAATAAAACTAGATGAATCTAGGTTCTCCAAAACTACCTCCTGATAGATAATAACAGTTACAAAGTTTAAGAGAAAAAAAGCAAAAATAGCTTGAGGAGTAGCAATAAAAGGAAAAGTAACACAACTTTAATCCTCAAAATAATAGTAATAATAACAATAGCTCTCAACATTAGGCCAAAATTGGCATTAAATCTGTAAACATTGCACCTATATAAACAAAATAAAATAGCATGGTATCTCCTACAGTAAAAAAGCCTAATAAATTTTTAAACTAAAAAACATAAGAGGAGATTGACAAGTAAAATCAGATCAAAAGATAAAAAAGTGCTTCTCCCACTGGTGGATCACCGAAAAGCTCACTTTTATAGTAAAGAGATCAAATTAAGAGACCTGAGAATCTTGTTATATCATAAAAGTAAAACAAGACACAGCATAATTTTAACTCTCAAAAGCAAGACTCGAATGTTCAAATCAAAGATTAGAAGCTTGATGATTCTAACTATCAAACTATTCCAAATTAAAGATAGCAACCTAATTCAATGAATATTTCTAAGGTTAAGCAGAATTAGCAAAGGATGCAAGTTTCTCACTCTATTCAAAATATACAGTAGGCTAAGAATTAGGCTTAAGGCTCATCTCAGATGTAATAACCTACTTAAATAGTCAAAAAGGATAATTTACTTGATTAAAATTAGCTCAATAGCTCTGACGAGTAAAAGATATTTGAAGAGCTTGACTTCTTAAATTAAAATGAAAGTATTGAATCGCTTGTAGTGTCAGCATAAAGCTCAAATCTAAATGAAAGAGTCAGAAGTTTTTAAATGATTAAGAATTCTGAAGATTAATTGCAGGAATGTAGTGATTAACTGCTAAAGAAACTTTTTAAAATACATCTAGATTATCTTTAAGACAAAGACGAAAGAGTAATGGTAGCCGTTTAAGAATCACTACTTACACTAGTATAGTATAAGCATACATTAGTTGATAAGTACTTAGACTCAATGATCCCCACTGTAAGATACTAAAAATAATATAATTCATTCATAGTTGTTACAAAATATGGTAGGTCTTAGCGAGTAAGTAAGCATTCTTTCAAGTGATTTAATCAACATCATATGCTTGCAGCAAAATGCCTCAGACATAGTGTTGATTTTAATGGACTTGCTTAGAGAGTAGTCAGTAAATCATAAAATTGTAACAGCAGCCTTAGAGGTTTTAGTAGTGCTTCTAAAAGATGATTAAGAATACTGCAATAAAAATGCAAACGTCTTAGAGACTACACTCAAGATAGTGGAGCTCTTAGAAACAAACAACAATAATATGGATGTAATAATGCCATCAATTGCAGTAATGCTTGCTATGAGAGATAAAAATTTTGAGGGTACGATGAAAGCACTCTTATTCCTGAAAAGCCAACAGCTGAATGTTATATTAAAACTTGCGCAATAGTTTGCTCCTGATTTTGAAAACGACATTAAGAAGAATGTTTTATCTGATTAGGTGTAGGTTAGAAAATAGTTAAGTAATCCTCAGTCGAGTTATGGCCAAATAAAAAAACAGCCCGTAAATAATATAAATAAAGCCAGGACAAGTAATATTTCTCATCAAGCATCTAGCAAATTTACCAATGGAAATACTTAAGATGATGAAAATTATCGTTTCTAGCAGCAAGATTCAAATAAGAGTTCAATACTAAGTAAATAGCAATAAAATAACCTTTAGAATTTCTTGCGAGGTCAATCTATTAATGATGAGAGTGAAATAGATAAATTTTCTCATTCTTAAAGATCATATGATTCACATTCCTTTAAGGAACCTATCTTTAATGATACTTACAACAGTCATATTGATCTTGGAAGTCAAATACTCCAAAGTGAGGAGAACTTAAAAGAGAACTTCTAGGATATAGAGAAGGCATCTCCAGTAAATGTCTTGCAACAGCAAATGACAAATAGAACAATAAGTGATCAGATGAATTCTAATAAGAGTTCACAAAGACATAGCAAAATTAAGAATGAAAATTTTGAAAATGATAGTAACTTGAATGATGACCTCGATAATTTTAATGAGTTAGTAAACTTCACATAAGGAAGTTCAAAGAACTATATAATTAGCAAAGCAGGAGATGTGCTTGATGATTAAATTGAGGATGGTGTTAGCCCAAAGCCTAGACTTAGCATTATTCAAGATAAGATCAATAGAAGTTCAGAAATTAGTGAATTCTCATAAATTTTGAGGGCATCAATACCGAATCAAAGGTAAAAAATATTTGACAGGATAGATGAAACACTTTTGATGGAGGATCCTAACAACATTATTAGTTCTCTATTTGAGGAACTTATTAAGTTTTTCTTTGATTTGTTGAAGAGTGATGAGTCAGTTGGAATTAAAGAGCAGTCTTTTAAATGTCTATTTAGAATACTGCAACTCAAAGTTCAATAGACAAAGTAAATTCTTTCAAATATCATAGAAGACATTGCAATAGCTTACTTCCTCAATAAAAAGGTAAATTATATATTAGACTTATTTCTATGAATAGATGATTCCAATGTTTGAAAAAATTTTAAGCATACTAGTTGCAACCTAAGATTAAGAGTAAATCTTCATTTTATTAGACAAGCTAATGCAAAATCATCAGCATCCTCAGCTTCAAATTATGATCAAAATGACAACACTCCTTTTTAAAATACTAAACAACCACAAACTAATTGATAAATACTTCTCAGTAATGTTTGAAAACTTATTCTAGGTAATACTTAAACATTATTTATATTAAAAATAGCTCATGTCACACGATTCAGCTAATGTAAGGAAATCGCTAGTTTTCTGCATGGTTGATATGTACTTTGTAATGGACCACAATGACTTCAGCAAGTATCTTACTTAGTTCAATGTGAATTAGCAGAAACTTGTGAATATCTATATTGAAAGGAAAAGTGGCGGCTCATCATCTCCTAAAAATGAATGACAACTATAGGAGTGAATAGATGAAACTTGTGAAATTCTCAAATCAATAAAGTTACATTGACTACTAATAATGAATGAATTAATATATAGTTATCTTTCTATTTAAGCTTTTGCTTATTTGCACTTATACTCTAAATTAGTTATACGGGGTTTTGGGGTTTTGGGGTTTTGGGGTTTTGGGG